AATGAATGTTCAGTTGTTGTGTGGTAGTGAAGATCAACTAATTTATGTGTAATTTGGCTCTCAAAATTTGAACCATTCAGTTTCAAACTTAGTTTCACTCTTTTATTTTGCGAGCCAAGGAACTACACAGATACTTAAAAGAAAGAAAAACCTCAATTCTCTCCCTTTGCCCATGCTTCTCTTCCATCTCCCCCAATATCAGAAATCTCAGTTGAATTACTGTGCAACAGAACAGTATGATGGGGAGGTGGAGGTGAAGAAAAGAACCTCACATGAATGAATAATGAACTTCATTGGAGTAAAATACCCATTTATTTCTAAGGATGTTGCTAAAGAACCTTTAATGAATTAAAAAATTAAAACCTTTTGCAAAAACCACAGATGTTTTTGAACTTAAATGCAACTTCTTTTTTATAAATGAGCTATTATAGACACCATTTGGTTTACCTAGTATGTCACAATAGAACTATTTAAATTATTTTAATTTTTGTCTTGTTTTCTTTCTCTGTTTTTTGTTTAAAAACTACATAAACTCCATTGGACTGAATTCAAGATATACTTTCCTTCAGCTAGATTAATGTGTAAAGTGAATAGTACTTAGGCAGGGTTTTATGTTAAGAGAATGAACATTGTTTTATTAGGCTGCCAGAAGTTTAGGACCAGAAAGACATTTTACATTTGTATGTTTCTAAACACAAGGAATGTGTGTTTCAGGGCAGCTGATGTAGACCTTGTACTACTTTCCTCATCCAAAATAATTGGTAACCATGTAAACATCCTGAGCCAGTCAACTGACCACATTAGCTCATCTCACATGAGGTATTACAAAATGGATTTTTATGGTTAGTTAATTGAAATGATGTGAATTCTTTTGAACTTAACCACTAGTATTTATTTTTCTACTTTTTGTATATAAACTTTTAAAAGAAAAAACAAACTTTTGCTTAATATCTTTCCCCTTGATTACTTTGAAGTAACAGCTAAGTTATATTGCTTTGACTGCTTTTAAGAGTTCTTCATTATTGATGTTTAGCAATCTGTTTGTCATGTGCATAATTAAAAATGGATAGCTTTTGTTATAGTTCTGCTTGGAATTTACTGGGCTTGTTAGACCTGTGAATTTGATTTCTTCATATGTGAAAATTGTGTAGCCCTTATTTTTTCAGAAGTTTTTCCCTGTGCCTCCTTTCTCTTGTTTTATACCCCAGTAACATTTATGTTAGGTGTCTAGTGTTGCCCCACAGGTGTTGAGGCTCTGTCCTATGCCCTAGTTTTTTTCTGACTCATTTTGCATAGTTTGTATTGCTACATCTTCAGGTACACTGGTGTTTTCTTCGCCAAATTTAATCTGCTGTTATTTTGATCAGAGTATTTTTCATTTAGGTGTATCTTGAGTCGTTTGTGGTCTGTATCTTTTGGCTTGTCTCCTTCTTTGGGTCATATTTGTTTCTTTGGTAGGTTTTGATAGGATAGCATGTATTTTGAATTGTATTATGGAGTGTTGGACTTTTAGAAAAACTTTAAATAATGCTGGACTTCTAACACATAGTTGTTATTAAGTTGTTTGGATGGCAGGTAAACCAGTAACATTTCCACCCAGAATGAGTATCACCTTGACTAAGTAAATCTTAAAAAGGTATGAAATACTGTACCTGATGCTTACCCTAAAATTCACGTTAATTATAAGTAGTACGTGGTAGAACTACATGACATTTTTTCTAACTCATTTTATAGGATACATAGTGAATAAGGAAGGATGACATGTATTATACTATCTTATTTTGATGTTTATGATGGTACTTGTCTATTTCAATGTGATTCTGTTTATTGTCAACGTGAAATTATACAGACTTAAGACAGATGACTTGTTGCTTTGTAATAGATGGCAGATTTGGAAATAAAAGACCGTCAGCTTCTGTAGAATTAGTACAAGTGTTTGTTCTACTTTTATTTAAGGAATGCAGCCAATTAAATTTTTTCATGTGTGGAGAAATACCTTGTTTACAGTTGGAAGGCAGCACAACACAAATCTCTTCCTGTTTCCGCAGATTAAAGTCTTAGATATTTATCTTATATGTGCTTTTTAGACTTTTTGTCTACTTAAAGCAAGGATTGGGTTTCTTGATAGGTGATTAGATGAGAGTACTAATTTATTTGTAAAAACCAACTTGCCTTTTTATATCATGACTGTCCTCAGGTTGGCGGACTTGCCATTTACATCATTGAGGTTTGACATTGTTAATCTCTCTTCACAGAATTCCTTCCACTCTGATTTTATATTACCTGGATTCATTCATCTGCACACCACTGTAGCATACTAATAAAACAAGCCACTTTATGTTTTGCATAGCCTTTTATTTCCATTATGATTTTTTTAAAAAGTCCTTACCGGTGAATTTCCTGAACCATGTCTGAATGTAGAACTTATAAATTGTAAATTACTCTCTTTTTTAATTTTAGAAAGATTCTGCAGTATATATTTCACCCATCCAGGAAGTCTGGAACTTGACTTTGACTCTCATGTTCATATTCATACTATTCCAGAGACAAGTTGTGAATGGGACTTTTTCTTTTTTGCTATTTCATATCTGAGTCCATTTTTCTGTTTGTCCTAGCACGCCATGCTGTGTGGCTTTGTTGCATTTAATTGACCCAATATTTGTGCTATAGTTTTCTAGTATTTTAATGTATGAAATATGTTATTATAGAAAAGCACTGAATGTTTCTGAGCACCATATTAAATAGCATTATTGATACAAAAGAAGTCTTTCCTTACCATTTAAGTATATTAGTGGGAAAATAAGTAAAAACAAAGATTTAAAAGTGCTATGTTTCAAGGAATTTTAAAGTTGTTAAAAGTGTTATAATAATAACTAATCCTGTATACCCTGTTGTGGACTTCCCTCTTGTGGCAGATAAGCCTGAAGTGAGTGAACACAGTGATGTTTATTTAAGTCTTGTTGTGTGAGCAATATTGGACATTTAATGAACTCTCAGTATAGTCTAATGAATTATTGGAGTTAACTTTCACAGGAATGGAGTCCCAAGTATTTATGATCCTAACTTCGTGTATGTTCAGAAGTTACCTGCATAAACAAAATTTGAACATAAAAGTCTCTCTAGAGCTTCACAAAGCCTGACCTGTTAGTCATTCCAGAGACATTGCTGTTAACTATTAAAATACATGGAAAAGAAAGAAACGATATTGGCACTTAGGGTCGGGTGTTTTAATCAGCCACACCTTTATTTTAGTGACTATAGGAGATACGGATATTAGAAGTTTGAACCTAACTTATTAAGTTATTCTATTATATAGCTTTATGGCAAATAATATATATGTAGTTAGGGAATAAGGAACTTTGAAACCTTCTAAATCTGCTAGTGGTTTAGCTTGTTTCAGTTAGCCTCTGGCCCATGTAAGTTACATTTCTTGTGTGTACATATATTTGGGAATATGTAGGTATATGATAAAGTAGAACAGTCTGGAAAAAAAATAGTCTTTGACCTCTGAAAGATTTTGTAAAAAATAAATTTCAGTGTTGTAAATTAGTGTAGTTCCATAGAATTTCTTTTTTTCAGAAGACAAGTATTTTCTAAAATTTTCTTAGTTTAATATTAATGGTATCATATATCTTAGAATGTTTTATTTTTTATTTTTTTATGATTTTGAATTAGCTTTGGCTTTATGAAAAGATATAAATTGTCAGGAAGGAAACTGCTGGATACAGTATGAAGTTATATTTTTTTAAAATATGAACTATATTTCATAAAGCATGTTTAAAATTAGGTACACTATGATGAGAAGAATTTGTGATTGATGCCTTCTGGCTCATTGTTTCAGAATTGTGTTTGCCTCTGTTTTTATGATTAAATTTTTTTTATGATTAAATTTTTAAAATTTAATTTTATTGGTACATTTTAGATATACATAATCATAACATCAATCCTACAATTTTATTTTGCTAATTTTACAAAAACAGAACTTTATTTTTTTGTCTTTTTGAGAAAGGGTCTTGCTATGTAGTTCAGGCTGGTCTTGAACTCATTTTGTATCCCAGGCTGGTTTCAAACTTGTAACGATCCTCCTGCCTCAGCCTCCCAAGTGCTGGGACGATAGGTGTGTGCCATCATGCCCAGCTAAAAAAATAGAACTTTATTAAAATAGGGATGTTATTTGTGAAACTAGTTGGACATAGAGAATTCACACACAGTGTTTTTTGACAAGTTAATGAAGAGTTTCATTTTGAAAGTGAAAAATAAATTCTTCTTTTATAGTACTGTTAGTACCCCTGCTGAGCTATACTCTGCACTATCACTCCTCCAGGTTTTTAATTGTGTTAAAATACACATAATGTAAAATTTACTGTCTTAACCATTTTTATTGTCTAATGTTAGATACATATGTAATGACTTTCTATCAGTGTCTTACAACCTGCTGTATGTGTCAGTGCTCTGTGCGTTGGTTGCTACATGGGTCGCAATGAAGAGTTCTTGTACCACTTTCTGCTCTCTGCCTGTGGTTGTGGTTGTGGCGAGGGCCTCAAGTTCAGGGCAGGACTGAATGTGCCCACCTATCAGTTAAGCGTATTACTAGCTGACACACAAGTCCATTTTTCATACTGTCTGATTTGAATCTTTTAGTCTTTTGTTTTTTTCCCCTTAAACTTCACTTTTTTCTTGTAAATTTCACTTAATTTAGAAAGAATTCTTCACGAATCAGAAATAGTGTATCAGTTCTGCTATATGGGTTCTACCCAGTGTATTCTTATTCAGAGAGTATTAGCAGTCACTGTCATTTTTCTTCTGTGTACCTCTCTCTGTTCTGTGATCACTATCCTTGTTCCTTTGAATGGAAGAAAAGTTCCTGAAACTTTCCACAGGCAAAAGTAAATGTGAAGGATTATAATGCTGAAGATACATTTTGAAAAACTGAAGTAATTTGACTTCAAATTTTAATTCACTTAATGTGTTGCTAAATGTTTACTTACTGTCTTTCATAGGCAAGAGTGCATGTTGGGAGATTCAACTTGCAAGAGTCCTGAATCAGATCCAGAGTACTTTTCTGATGAAACAAATACTGAAAATCTTTATGGCACCTCTCCCCCTAGTACTCCTCGACAGATGAAACGTATGTCAGCCAAACACCAGAGGAATAATGTAGGGAGGCCAGCCAGTCGATCCAGTCTGAAAGGTGAGTCTTAAGCTTGAAAAAGTGTACATGATATATGTGTATGCAAGATAGATAACTCTACTACTAATCTGTGTTCATCAGAAAGAACAGTTTGTGCTGTCATTGATTGTTTGATCATTTTTATACCTAGGTCTTATAAACTGAACAACCACTTCTCAGATAACAATATGCAGTATATAAACTAGTGTTAAAAATATACATATATACATGAAAAGACATGACAGTTTTGGTAAATAATCTTTATATGACATATAGTTGTTGATTAATCCTTTCTATAGTAATGTTTGTAATTCCTTTTATTTTAAATTTCATTTTAGTGCTGCATTTACGTTTTTGAATTATTGCTAATTTTTGAATTATTTTTAATCTAGTGATACTGTTAATAGAGAAGCCAAGTTATAATCCAGAGAAAAGTCTGTTTTGAGTTATTTTAGTGATGTGAAGCATTTGAAGATATGACAAGGCCAAGTGCTTCCCATTGTCCTAACCCAAGATGGTAATATATGGAATAATATGGCCTTCTTTTATTATTTTAAGATTTTCTCTCTCCAGAAATGGTTTACTGGAGAGTTGAATAGAGACAGACTCAGGCTTTCTTCTCTGGATTCCCTAGGCAGCCTGAGACCTCTGCCAGTCATCTGCCAGTAATTCACAATGATTCCATCAGTGTGTTGGGCTTTCTTGCCAAGCAGCCACTTAGATAGTATCCTGCATGGACAGAACCTGTTTTCTGCCTTTTTCTTTGTATAGAATCCCAAATCCCAGGTAGCGCCCTACTCCTAGAAGCTGTGAATATAGCTTTTTTTGTTTCTTTTTTCCTCTTGGCAGATTCTAATGCCTGTTTTTTTAAGGTATGTGAGTTAAATCATGTTGACCTGCTGCCTTTTTGTATCCTACATATGACTGGAAACCTTAGGTCTTGAAACCGTAGGGCTTTAGTGTTTCCCTGTTAAATGTGGCAAACCACTTGTCCAAAAGCAGATGCCATAATTCTCTGGGACTCTACCTATTAGTATACAAGATCGGGATTTTGTTCTTTGTCTCATCTCAGAAATTTCTCTGTTGAGCCCAAGCTCATTCATTCCTGTGTCTCCCTTTTCTTAGTCAGGTTATTTGTAGAACTTTGGTCAATTTCCTTTCCATACAGATTTCTTTAGTACATGATCTCTCAAGGTTGTAGGTTGGCTTCTTCTTTCTACATGCCCATTGGTGCCTTTCCTAAAGAAAGAAGAGGCAATCTAAGCTAACGAAGAATCTTTTTTGTGCACAGATTTTCCTACGGAGGATAATGTTTAAAATTTCTTTTAAAACTTTATTTTCCATAGAGTGTTAAATACTTTACTTACTTTGTTGAAAACCAATAAGTTGCTATTGTAGTTTGTCATTTTGAAAATCAGTTCTTAGCCAGAGCAATTAGACAAGAGAGAAAAATAAAAGGGGTAAAGATAGGAAAAGAAGAAGTTAAATTGTCATTATTTGCAGATGACATGATAATCTCATAGAAGACCCCCTAAACTCCATTGAAAGACTCTTAGATATAATAAATAAATTCAGTAATGTAGCTGGGTACAAAATCAATACTCAGAAATCAATAGCATTCTTATATACTAACAACAAAATCACAGAGAGAGAAATAAGAGAAGCCACACTCTTCACACTAGCAACCAAAAAAATGAAATATTTAGGAATTACTCTTACAAAAGAAGTGAAAGACCTATACAGGGAAAATTATAATACACTGAAGGAAGAAATTGAAGATGACCTCAGAAAATGGAAAGACATCCCATGTTCATAGATAGGAAGAATAAACATTGTGAAAATGGCCATTCTCCCAAAACTGTTATACAGATTCAATGCAATCCCAATAAAAATACCATCAGCATACCTTATAGATCTAGAGAAATCACTCCTAAGGTTCATCTGGAACCAGAAGAGACCTAGAATATCAAAGGCAATTTTAAGCAACAAAGGCAAGGCAGGAGGCATCACAATCCCTGACTTGAAGTTATACTACAAAGCAACAGTAGTAAAATCACCATGGTACTGGAATCAAAACAGAGGAGAGGATCAATGGAATAGATTAGAAGATACAACCACAACTACAAACACACTCAACCACCTTATCTTCGATAAAGGAGCCAAGCAGGTTCACTGGAAGAACGACAGTCTTTTTAATAAATAGTGTTGGAAAAACTGGCTCTACATTTGCTGAAAACTAAAACTTGACCCAAGCCTATCACCATGTACTAAATTAAAATCTAAATAGATTAAAGATCTGAATATTAAAACAGAAACACTAAATCTATTGGAAGATAAATTAGGTAGAAACCTTGAAGACATAGGGGTAGGTAGAGAATTCATGGACAGGACTTAAACTGCACAGGAAATACTTCCCAGAATCAATAATTGGGACTACCTCTTATTAAAAAGTTTTTGTAAGTCAAAAAAAAAAAAAAAATCTCCAGCATAGTGAAAAGAAAACCCACAAACTGGGAAAAGATCTTAGTGAACTCCCCCTCAGACAAAGGACTTTTGTCTAAAATATATAAAGAATTAAAAAAAATCAGACCCCCAAAATTCAAAGACCCAATCCAAAAATGGGCATCTGAGATGAATACACACTTCTCAGAGGAAGAAATACAAATGGCAAATAAATACATGAAAAAGTGTTCATCATCATTGGCTATTAGGGAAATGCAAATTAAAACCACACTGAGATTCCATCTCACTCCTGAGAGAATGGCCAGGATCAAGAAAACCAACAACAACAAATGCTGGAGAGGCTGTGGGGAAAAAGGAACTCTCCTATACTGTTGGTAGGAGTGTAGACTGGTACAACCTTTGTGGAGGTCAGTCTGGAGATTTCTTAAAAAGCTGGGATTGGAAGTCCCATTTGTTCCCGCTATTCCACTACTAGGCATCTTCGCAGAAGAACTGAAAGCATCATACCAAAGTGATATATGCACATCTATGTTTATAGCACAATTTGTAATTGCTAGATCCTGGAAACAACCTAAATGTCCATCAACCGAGGAATGGATAAAAAAGCTGTGGTACTTCTATATAATGGAGTACTACTCAGCTATAAAGAAGGATCGCATTGAGGTATTTATCAATAAATGGGCGCAGCTTGAAACCATACTCATAAGTGAACTAAATCAAACTCGCATCTGTGAACTCCGAATAGTTTCCCTAGTGTAGGAAATGAATCAAATATATAAAAGTATGTGATAACCATGATTCCCCATTATATGGCCTTGAAGCCTTATAAAATTGTCACTCATTACTTGGAATGGTTTTATTCTGGGCTGTTTGATATCATGGCTGGTGATGTAATGAACAGCCACTTGAAGAAAATAAGACATAATAACAGCTAGTGCTGATTTAATAACATCTTGTCTTAAAGCCATACCAAACTATGGTTCTTCTGTTTCCATTGGTTTTATGATGTTGTAACTTGCTGGACTTTATCGTATGTGATAGTATAAACAAAAATTGTTATAGGCAAAGAGATAATATTGAAACCATTGATCATTTTTTTCTGTTAGCTGGTTCTAAATACTCTACAATGCTTTCATCTACTTGAATGGTGTTACACAGTCTTGATATATTTGATGCTATAGCATATGAAGTTATAGTCAAATATTTCAAAGAAAAGACACTATGGTAACTACTATTAAGTCGGGTTATTTGGTGGTGAAGCACTAGGTTGCTGAAAGTGCCATGCTTTAACCTGTATTGTTATGTTATGCCCCCTTTTATCTCATCCTCTCCCTTATTCATTAAAAAGTCATTTAGTTTTTAAAAAAAAAATATATCAACCAATAAAAAATGCTCCTGGTTCTGTAGGGAAAAAGAAACCCTTTACAATTGTTGGTTAGAGAGTAGATTAGTACAAACACTGTGGAAATCAGTGTGGAGATTCCTCAAAAAATTAGGATTAGAGGTCCCATTCAACCCAGGTATTCCCCTTCTGTGTATCTTCCCAGAAGGATTTAAAAACATCACACCACAGTGACATATGTGAAACCATAAGGTTCAAAACATACAGTAGTCACTGTGAAATGGAAGGAAACTGTTCAATAAAAAGAAGAAACTAAGATAGGGGAAAAGAGAAAGGATAGAAGGGAAAAGAAAAAAAAATGCGAGTTAGTTGTACCATTAGTGTCACTTAGTTCACTGAACAGGAAAGGTTGTGCTAATATTGATTGAAGAAATTTTTATGCCCATATTTTGTACTTGTGTGACTGAAGATAATGTTGTGTAATTTATCAACAATTGTTACTTTTTCATTATTTTGTTGTGAAAATTTGTTTTACTTTCTCTTCTTAATATTAACAAATAAAGTAATAAAAAAAAAAAGAAAATCAGTTCTTGCCCATTTTTTGAAAGAAACTTATAAATGGCTATGGACTTTCCTTACCTAAAAGAGGTATCAGGAAAGCAGTATCTACCACTGATGGTTAATAAATATTTTCTTCGTGGTGGTAAAATGAGAAGATGCCAGCAGTAAGTCCTTTTTTTTTCACTTGTCATTCTGTATTATTTTAGAACAGTGGAAAGCACAGTTTTCCTGTTAGATGGCTTGAGAAACTAAGGGTTGGATGTTTAAAGCAACTTTTTTAAGGGCAGAAGATTTGAGCAAGTGGCAGGGCTGTTTTCACTATTGGTTCTCACGACACTCAATTTGGGTTTTTTTGTAGTACAGCCAGCAGGGAGTCTAAAGCTTGTCTGAAGGCAATATAATACCTGAGCTGAGTATGCCATCTTCACTAATCAGACAACCTGTCACCAGGCATTTGTTGAATTTCTGCTGTGTGGGAGATAGAGGGAATATAGGAAAAGGTGTTTGTTTCCTGTCTCAGCTTCCTTTACCTCATAAAATATTAGAGCTGGAATTTTCCAGCAAGTAGGAGTCTAAAGCCACGTAAACGTCTGCCACTTCTCAGATGAAGAAGCTAACTCTTACAGACTTCTAACTTCATGGCTACCTAATAGCA